GGGACAGCGGGGGCCAGCGAGGGACAGCTGGGGACACCTGGGGGACACCTGGGGACAGCTGGGGGACAGCTGGGGGACACCTGGGGACAGCTGGGGCCCGCGGGGGACGCCCGGGGACAGCTGGGGACACCTGGGGGACACCTGGGGACAGCTGGGGGACACCGTGACATCAGGGATGGGTGGCAGCTGGGGAGCACCGTGCCATTGTTGGGTGTCGCGTTGGGTGACACCACGGGCACAGTGACCACAGTGCCACCATTGGGTGCTGCTCTGGGTGACACCACGGGCACGGTGACCTCAGTGCCACCATTGGGTGCTGCTCTGGGTGACACCACGGGCACGGTGCCACCATTGGGTGCCACCCCGGTGACCCGGCGGTGGCGCTGCCGTGGCAGGTGCTGGTCAGCGAGCTGCACCGCCGCGTGCTCATCGAGTACGTGCGGCCGCTGCTGCAGGGACGCCTGGTGTGCGCCTCGGCCAAGGCGCGCGCCCGCGTGGCCGCCCGCCTGGGCGACGAGGCCCGCCAGCTCCGCGAGCTCTTCACGCGCCTGGTGAGACCCCCGGGACCCCCCGGGACCCCCCCGGGACCCGCTGGGGAGGGGGCTGGCGCGGCTGTGGGGTGTTGGTGGCGTTGGGTGACACCCATGGGACATTGTTGGGTGTTGGGTGGCACCTGTGGGACGTTTTTGGGTTTCTGGGTTGGGTGACACTCATGGGCATTGTTGGGTTGGGTGACACCCATGGGACATCAATGGGTGTTGAGTTGTTGGGTTGGGTGACACCCATGGGACATCAATGGGTTGGGTGGCGCCTGTGGGACATCAATGGGTTGGATTGGGTGACACCCATGGGCATGGCTGGGTGCTGGGTTGGGTGACACCCATGGGACATTGGTGGGTATTGGGTGACACCCGTGGGACATCGCTGGGTGTTGAGTTGTTGGGTTGGGTGACACCCATGGGACATCAATGGGTGTTGAGTTGTTGGGTTGGGTGACACCCATGGGACATCACTGGGTATTGGGTTTCTGGGTTGGGTGACACCCATGGGACATCGCTGGGTATTGGGTTTCTGGGTTGGGTGACACCCATGGGACATCACTGGGTGCCGGGTGACACCCATGGGACACCGCTGGGTGCCGGGTGACACCCGTGTCCCGCAGGAGTCGGCGTCGCCCTGGCTGGACTCGGTGGTGCCGCGGCTGCGGGAGCTGCTGGTGCTGGAGGACACGGCCGCGCTGCAGATGGAGGTCGGCGCCCTGGCCAGGGACTTCCCCGACGTCCGGTGGGTGCCGCGGGGACACCGGGGGGTGACAAAACCGGGGGTGGCACCGTGGGGGTGACACAGCCGGGGGTGGCACCGTGGGAATCCCACGGGGGTGACACAATTGGGTGACACCGTGAGGGTGACATAAGCGGGGGTGGCACGGTGGGAACCTTCCTGGGGTGACACAGCCAGGGGTGACACCGCAGGGGTGACACAACTGGGTGGCACCGTGGGAATGCCATGGGGGTGGCACAACCGGGGGTGGCACCGTGGGGGTGACACAACTGGGTGGGACATGGTGGGAGCCCCTATGGGGGTGACAAAACCGGGGGATGACACAACCGGGGGTGGCACCGTGGGAATGCCACAGGGGTGACATAACTGGGGGTGGCACCGTGGGAACCCCGCGGGGGTGACACAACCGGGGGTGACACGGCCGGGGGATGACATCACGGGGATGACACAACAGGAGGTGGCACCGTGGGAACCCCGCGGGGGTGACACAACCGGGGGTGACACGGCCGGGGGATGACATCACGGGGATGACACAACAGGAGGTGGCACCGTGGGAACCCCGCGGGGGTGACACAGCCGGGGGGTGACACCACGGGGGTGACACTGCCGGGGGGTGACCCCGTGGGAGTGACACAACCAGGCATGACACCGTGGGGGTGATACAACTGTGGGTGACACCGTGGGGGTGACACCGCGGGGGTGACACTGCCGTGCCACCGCGCTGCCCGCTGGCCCCGGGCAGGGCCCGGCGGGCCCCGAGCGCCGGTGACCGGACGTGGCCTGGGGCCCTTCCCGGCAGCTCCCGCCCCGCTCCCCCCGCCGGGAAGCGGCCGCGGCCGAGCGCCAGCTGCCCTCCCCTTGTCCCTGTCCCTGTCGCTGTCGCTGTCCCCTCCCCTTGTCCCTGTCCCGGTGCCGGTGCCGCTCCCGGGGGACCGGTGGCACGCGCGGGGATGGGGGCGGGGGGCGCCCCAAAATCCGCCCTGGTGACAAAAACGGGGGGGGGGGGGTTTGGGGTGCGGGGGGCGGGGGGGTACC